CTTTAGGTGACTGACGATGAATTGGAACCTTGATTGGACGAGCATCTGTAATTAGAAATAAAATTATGTGTAACAATCTTAGCCCTAGATGACAAGTCAAATTCAAAGAGATCAGCATACTCTATCATAACTTGGTTAACCGCTACAATACAAAAACCATCAGAGGGATTGGAAGAGGGAAGAGAGGAATAAAACGGAAATATAGAAAGAAATAATAGGGAAACAAAAGTGATGGAAGCAGAGGTAGAAGTAAAAAGACGAAGAAGTACAAAAGTGAGAGGAATGGAAGAAATATAAAGAAGTATGAGACAAGAGGGAGAAACCTCAAAGTCATATTTGGCATAATTGCACCGCAACCAATCTATACCAAAGATGAAGTCAAAAACTTGACTCATCACCACTTGCAAGAACTACAACTTAAGCTCAAGATTTTTCACATGCACAACTAAGTCCTCTTCCCATATACATGTGTGTGTACAGCTGTTGCCATAAAGAATAAAAACTGGCTCTACCACATGACATAAATGTAAATGATAATGTGTAGCAATAAGCTGAGCAATAAAAGATAAACTCAAATCTATATTAACCAACACGGAGAAATTAATAAAAGATCTTTTGTTATAAAAATGAGTTTGGAAAGTAAACACTGAATAAACTAATGTTGAGTGAACCCCTTGATGATACTCCCAAAAGAAAGATAGAGGGATCACTAACTTATTTGCACAAAGTCCCTCTATTACTTGTGTAATTCCTTGTTTCCCATATGCATCTCAGTGTCTAGACCTTTCACTACAGTATTACAAATAGAATGTTGTTGATGCCAAGGTCTCCACTTAGAAAATGGAGGTTGCTAATTCGAAAAATGCCGACAACACTTATAAGTGTGATTAACTTCATTATATGCCCAGCAATGGACATCACAGCCACGACTATATCCTCGTCTTAGCCTTTAAATATGGGCAATACCAGCATCAACCTCTATTAGAACAGGACCATTTCCCATAAGCAATGGAGTTAAAGGACATGTAGTGAAAAATGGAAAATGCAATATCTCACAATGTTGTGCCAAACAAAGAGTATCATCAAGGATAGTTAGAGTAAGTGTATATACAAGTCTTACTAAATCTTGACGAAATGCTGGCTACAACATTCCCAACTTGATTCACTCTGACATATTTGGCTCCACACGAAGCAAAAAGCTTAAAAAACAAATGCCAAATTGCATTACCAATTCAGATGGCCCTTAACAAAAATGATGCAATTGTTAAAAGGCATCATCAAAATTGTCAATATGTCCAAATATGTGTTTGAAAACATCCAAAAAAATATTCCAATCCTTACAAATGGTTGCACTTAAAGTATTGTACCACTACAATGCCATCCCTTAGAGACACATGAGAAACTCAAGTAAACATTAAGTATCATCCCAAAAATGATATGTGGCAATCATCGTAAAGTGATTGAAGCAATGGTATACATCATCCCTAGGATTCCCACGAAAAAACTTCAGTGAATACGAGGATTGGTAGTAAGTGCGTTGTGAATACTACTATCAATTGAGTTTGATTATTTAATTGCAACCACATAACATTGAGCAATTGCACCAATTGCTACTCTAGAGTTAAAAGAGGAGGAGGCTACTATTCTACTATGAAGATGAATGAAAAGAAATAAGTAAAAAATAAAAAGTTAGAGAAAAGCTAGAAGAAAATAGAGATTTAGACAATACAAAAAGTTAGATCTAAACCAAAATTCCCAAATACCAACAAAGTTGCCTCTCAACGTTACTTCTATGTGAGTATATGAAATATGGAAAAAAAAATTACAAAAAATGTGCATATCAATTAACCCAAAAACCCTTGTTTATATATAGAAGCAAGTGGTTTAGATTGAAACCAATCTAACAACTACTAAAATCCCACTATACTAATATTAGTATATGGTATCATAGCTGTACATTTGACCTCATAACTAATTTTTAAAGAGTATTAGTTTTTATTTTAAGTTCATTTAAATAAAGTAAAAATAATATAAATATAAACTTACTTTAATTTTTTAATTTTGATTTACATGTTTTTTGCTTTGAGTAATTTTTTATATTAATTTTAATAAATTAAATTTTTTTTAAATATCAGAGCAAAGTGCATCATTTAAAATATTTGGATTTTTATTACCTTTTAATTAGAATATGCTTAAGAAATTTGGTTTCTCATGCAGATATCTACTGCATCCATACAAAAGTATATATGTATTTGGATATGCCGCAGGGGGAAGAGAAAGAGAGGATTGCGTGCTGGGATTGTTGGTTTTTGCGCTTTGTTAGGGTTTGTAGCTGCGGCTAGGGCGTTCCATGCTAGATCTACAGGTATGTGCCGCAGCGATCTAGGCTCGTCTTTAGGAATGCCAGCGATCTCCCCAGACTGCGGCGCCCGCCCGGCGCCCAGCTTGCTCTAGTTGCTAGGGGTTTCGGTCGGGCAGAGGGATGGGGCCTCTCTGTTCGCCGTGAAACCGGCTTCTTCCACCAGGGGAAAGGAAAATGAAGATCTATTGCCGGAGATCAGAGCAGATCATCGTGGTCGTCGTGTTTGCGGGATTAATTGGAGTTGTTCTCGCATTGGCTCTGGACGATTTTCCTGTTCCTAGACAAGGTAAAGTATAGTGATTTCTTCCTTGTCGCTTTTTTTTTTTTTTTTTTTTTGTGCTTGAAGTGGCTAAGTGTCACGCTTGCTGTTTTCTTCTAGATCATACGCGCAGGTGGCTGCTCCAAGGTGTCAATGACACGGGCTTCTCAACGAACGCGCCGTCTGTGTCACCCACCTTGGCTGCTCCACCCGGAAAGTCGCCCTCTCCTGGTATGCATTCTTCTTTCTTTTTCTCATCTTTTTTGCCGACACTTTTTAGTGTCATCCAGGCTGCTGTATGGACAATATGATGAACAGACCCGGTGGCGAGACTTGCTCCTGTGTCTATCCGATAGAGATCGGGCTACTTCTCGACAATGTGTCGTCCAACTTCATTAACTCCACCGTCGCCTTCCAGCACCAGCTCGCGTCCCAGCTCAAGCTCCAAGACCCGCAAGTGGTGATTACAGCATTCTATTATATTAGTACCAGTGAGCTCAATATGTCCATTTATCTAGGCCCCCTGGTCGGTGTTAGTTTCTCATCCGAAGAGGCTACAAGCGTCAAGGCTTCTTTGGATGCTCACAAGGTTCGTTTCAACTCTTCTCTTGTGGGAAACTACACGCTTCTTCGTTTCAACCTTTTTGGCCCGGAACCTGGTAAGCTTGACGTGCTCTTTTGTGCATTAACTTATCGCCGTGTATTTGTTTTGTACGTGCAGTGTCTCCATCGCCCTCACCAGTTTTCGCACCTTCCCCATCAAGAAATCAGCCTCTATCGACGCCCACCAACAACCAATCCTCCGCTTCTGAAAGGCCCAAAGGGAAGGTTCGGCTGGGAATTATACTAGGAGTTGGTATTGCAATAGTGGCTTTGCTTTGCCTTTCTATACTATTCATTCGTAAACTGGCTCCTGGAAACAAAGAATCTGAAGAGAAGGCAAGCTTGACCAAGTCAGGTTGGTTCTCTAAACGAATAGTTCTGCAATTTTTAATTTTCTTTCATGCAGGTCACACGTCCTCTTTTACTAAAGCATCGGACCCTCCTCAAATGCTCTCTTTGTTAACTCGTCCAACAAGCACGCGAATATTTTCCTACGAGGATCTCAAAGAAGCAACGAATGGCTTTGATCCGGCTAACTTGTTAGGCGAAGGCGGCTTTGGACGTGTGTACCGAGGGAACTTGAAAGATGGAATGGCAGTAGCGATCAAAAGGCTCAGCAGCGGTGGTCATCAAGGCGATAAAGAGTTTTTGGTGGAGGTGGAAATGCTAAGCAGATTACACCATAGACATCTCGTGAAGCTTGTCGGGTTTTTCAGTAGCCGGGATTCCTCACAGCATCTTCTCTGCTACGAACTTGTTCCTAATGGAAGTTTGGAGTCGTGGCTTCACGGTATGGATTTCGTGCTTGCAAGATCTATATTGTGCTAACATTACTCTCAGGACGACTTGGTGCAAACAACCCGCTAGACTGGGATACACGAATGAAAATCGCAATCGGTGCAGCGAGAGGGCTGGCGTATCTACATGAAGACTGTCAACCTTGCGTTATTCACAGGGATTTCAAGGCTTCAAACATATTATTGGAAGACAACTTCCAAGCGAAAGTTGCCGATTTTGGTCTTGCCAAGCAGGCTCCGGAAGGACAAACAAGCTACGTCTCGACCCGGGTCATGGGAACTTTTGGGTAGGAATCTCTTTTTCGTATTCGCTACTACTGATGTTTCTTTGCACAGATATGTTGCTCCAGAGTACGCGATGACTGGACACTTACTTGTGAAAAGCGACGTCTACAGCTATGGCGTAGTCTTGCTTGAGTTGCTCTCCGGGAGAAAGCCCGTGGACATGGCACAGCCTACCGGCCAAGAGAATCTAGTCACCTGGGTAAGAAAGTGCATGGTTTTCGCTTTTACTTTTAGTGCTAACGATCATTCTCAGGCACGGCCTGTGCTCAAGGATGTCGATCGCATCTACGAGCTCGCAGATCCCCGACTAAACGGCCAGTACCCGCGGGAGGACTTCGCACAAGTTGCTGCGGTAGCTGCTGCTTGCGTCGCCCCGGAAGCGAACCAGAGACCAACGATGGGCGAAGTGGTCCAGTCTCTCAAGATGGTGCAGCACAGCAACGAGTACACGCACAGCGGCGAGAGGGAAAACATGACGGTGGAGACCCCGGTGTCCCCGAGCATGTCGGACGGGACGTTTGCGACGAGCTGGAACAACCACAACACCCGGCAGACGTCGGCAACGTTTGAGTCGGATGGTACGTCGTCCTTCTTCTCCTCGGGCCCCTTCTCAGGCTTGGCAGCGCTGGACGAAGGCGAAGACGCGCAGCGCGGGCCGACCATGTCCGAGGATCTCCTCGAGGGAAGGTGATATGGATTGGTTTGTATGTAACTAATGCCATTCCTGAGAATAACAGTGGTCGAACTGATGGAAGCACAGTCTTCTCGGATTTTTCTAGAGACCTTGAGAACGAGTTATTACAGAGATTCTTCTTCCAAAGAGTGGGAGCTTTGCTTTGTCGTGGGATCTACGCTTGACGTTCCTGGCAGGGATTCGAGAACTATGGACTGGGTCGCAGAGAGGAGAAGAGAACACGGGGAAAAGAGTCAAGAAAAGACTGTAGGTTGTCGTCACTATGAGAGTGATCAATCGAGACAACCCACTCGATCGGTCAGGAGAAGCTTTCAATTGCCCTGTGGTCCATCCTCTTCTCCATGGATGGGGATCCACACTCGCGTGGACTTGGCAGCACGCTCGCGCGATTTAAACACCATTTTTTCCCCGGCATTGACGATCATCGCAGCGGAGATCATGGCGAGCTCCAGTCCCCTGTTTTTCAAGAGGATTTGCTTGAGGAGCCAGGCGACGAGGAAGGCGATCAACAAACTCAAGATCACGGTGGTGTGCGGGGTCCTGACGATCCTGGTGCTGCGAGGATCGATCGGAGCGGGCGAATTCGGCACGCCTCAGAAGGATTTCCACGAAATCCAGAGGCGCGTTCTCCGCGGTTTGGATCACTCTAGTCGAGCAATTCGCGGTGATCAATCGATCATTCCGTCGCTCCCTGGTGTGGATCACTCTATAATAGCTTCCCAATCGATCGAGGCAAAGATCGAGCAGCATCCTTACAGATTGGGTCCAAAGATCAGCGACTGGGACGAGCAGAGGTCCAAATCGATCCAATCGCGGCCCACAAAGCTCCTCATGGTCACTGGATCGCAGCCCAATCCCTGCGACAACCCCACCGGCGACAATTTCCTGCTGCGATCGCTCAAGAACAAGATGGACTACGCACGGCTCCACGAAATCGAGGTGTTCTACAACACCGCCACCATGGACGACCAGCTCACGGGGTTTTGGGCCAAGCTGCCGGTTCTCCGCCGTCTGATGCTCGCGCGCCCGGAGATCGAATGGCTGTGGTGGCTCGACAGCGATGCCGTCGTCACAGACATGGCCTTCGAGATACCCCTGGCCAAGTACGCTGGCCACAATCTTGTGCTGCACGGATGGGCCTCTGAGGTGTACGTCACGGGCAGCTGGTTGGGCCTAAACACGGGCAGCTTTTTCATCCGGAATTGCCAGTGGTCGCTCGACCTTCTGAACGCTTGGGCGCCAATGGGGCCAAAAGGGACGGTCAGGATCAAGGCCGGTGAAATTCTGTCCCAGAATCTCCGGAATCGTCCGGTCTTTGAGGCCGACGATCAGTCCGCCCTCGTCTTTCTGCTCCGGAATAACCAGCAGATGTGGGGAGAGCGCGTGTTCTTGGAGAACTCGTATTACTTGCATGGCTACTGGGTGGCGCTGGTGGATCGATACGAGGAGATCATGGAGAAGAACCAGCCCGGGCCTGGAGACGAGCGCTGGCCCTTTGTGACGCATTTTGTGGGATGCAAGCCGTGCGGGAAGGATCCGGCGTACCCCGAAGAGAAATGCCGGGTGGGAATGGAGAGAGCTCTAAACTTCGGTGATAATCAGGTGCTCGCGAGGTATGGGCTCCGTCACAAACATCTCGGGACAACGGAGACGGTCAATCTCGATAGTTCCTGATACAAAAATCTAAGTTTTAAGGGTTCTAAGGGCAAATCATCCATGGACAAGGGCACTGCACGAGCCACAGGCATGATTTGCGCCATGCTACACGAGGTAAGAGAGCAAGATCCATCGCTGCAAAAGGATGTTGGAGATCATCTCTCACTGCCGGAGCCAAACGCCCAAGATCAGACTGGAGACAATCAAAGTGCGATTGGAAAGGAGGCGCTGGTAATCTGGGCTTTGGACAAGGCTATGCCTGCGTGGAAATCGAGCTTGCCTCTGGATGTCTATACGAGAGTCTGGCTTGGGTTAAGGTGGTTCCTTGGGATGCATAGGCACAAGCAAGCTGTGACAACCCTTCTCAAGCATCACTATTAAAATTCCATCTGATCATTTCGCTCTCAGCTGATTGAGTTTGAGCATGTGAAAGACAAAGCAAGCTTCTGGGTTTTTGACGTAGGTAGTATTTTCTGTTGAGAACTCCATGGCGATGGCCGCATCGTTCCATCCAGCGAAGATTTGCAGGAAAGAGACGCATTCACGGCTGCTCTGCGAAACTGCGGAGAGCACAGATCTCTGCGATCAAACGTCTTCGATCCGTCATAACTCTCCGGATTGCTAGTCCAAGGGAGGATCACTGGGGAATCTTTGATGGAGAGATGTGGTGAGCTGTCTCGGGTTACTATCACAGGATGGAGACCAAGAAGCTGTCGACACCTCTTCCAGAGAATGCTGGACCATCCACGTTGCAACTCGTGGAATTCGTGGCTGCTGAAACCAAGAAAATTTACTCACTTGCAACTCCAAAGACAGCAATTGAGATTCAAGCGTGCATTGCAACCGCCTCATCACCGGACAATGGAACCTTTTGGAAGCCTTAACAATCAGTTTAATGGTTTATAGCAGGTTGGAGATGAGCAAATGCCCGGGAATACTTTGTAGTCGTTTGCTTTACACGCAAAAGGTCGCAAGTGCGAAACTCGCTGGAACCAACAAATTCTCTTTGCCTTTTGGGAAATGCTGGAGAGCCTTTGTGTTAGAGTTGGATCATGGTTTTTGATGACTCACATTTTCTCAAAATCTCTGCATTGATGGTTTTAATGAAGAAGTTTTGATTATTTGGGGCATTCTAGAGCTGGAAAAAAGTTTGGTCAATTCCACAGAATGGCACTTTCGGATGCATGGCACAAGATGCCACCGTACAGAAAAAATGAGCATATGCTGGTGTCTTTGTGGACGGGATGGGGAAGAACATTGGCTTGATGCATCTTTGCTCTCAAATGGAACAGAGAAATCGAAATACCTTCTGGAAAGCTTGACAAGAAACTTGCGTCTCAAAGAATAATCAAAACGTTAGAAAATATGAGTCATCACATGATCTTATACCAGCAAAAACAAAAACGTTAAGTTGATGTGGTTTCTAGAAAACCTGAATCGTGCTTAAAGGAAAACTTGTTCAGATTACTATTAAGATGGTTGAGATTGCTTCAGCAAAGAAAAGGAAAATATCTGACGACGAGGACGACAGTGAAGTAGAAGCTAAGCTTATAAAATAGATAGACTTTCTGAAGAGGTAAATTGAAATCGTTTCCAGGAAATGAAGTAATATTGTTTCCAGAACACTGAGAAAACGCCTGACTAGGCAGAAGAGCAAACACTTGCTCTTAGGCCTGCTCCTAGCAAAACACGAAAGGCGAAGGTACTGACAGAATTTGTTTAGAAGATCATGCTTTTGTTTTCTAGGGACTGGGCAAGGCGGGTTTAACCATAGCCGCAAAAGAAGATCCTGAGGTGTCCACCAAATCAAGCCACAAAAGAGTCTCATCAATGGCAGGGGCTTTTCATGGAGGTAGTGTCACATACTGTTTGTTGGTTTTTTTTTTTTTTTTTTTGTTTCCTGACAAGTGCAATGCAGGTGGAGGAAGGGATGCCATCTAACAATAAGATGGACCTTGGGCAAGAGGCGAAACTTAACCGCACGGTGGTCACCAAGGCATTCAAGTTCGAACGCATGCTGAAGAACATATTTCCAGTCAAAGCTTATGGCGAAGAAAATGACAGACCTCGCGTATCGTTGCGGGATTTATTGAGCTAAACCAGAGATATGCGTTAATTAAGTATATTGCATGCTGTTTATGCTAATCGAGTAGTGCAGTGCGATATTTTGTGGTGAAAAGGGTTGATGGTCTCGACATTCTGCTGGAAACGAGCCCACCTGGACATCCTGGACAAGTTAAGTTTGAGGCTCTGGAGAGTTCTCTTGAACATGGGGATTCAGCGACTTACTGATTTACTGATTTTTTGCCCAGAAATGGAAGATGGATCGTCTTTTGTTTGCATAAGTGGAAATAAATGGTCGCAAGCTGTGGGTACCAAGAGATTTGGTGGAGGCCAAGGGTGACGTCCTTGACTTGTCGTCACAACACTGTTCTTCACTGTGATGTACCCAAAAATGTTCCCAAAAGTTCAAGATAGAGCCAATCAATATTTTGTCCATTTTGCAGACTCTATAGCTGTAGGCTGAAGCCTGAAGACAAGCTTGGTAAGGAATCCTACGATAGATATCAAGCAGCACTGAACAAGTGCAAGGGCTTAAAAAACTTTCCAATGGACTCATTATCCCAGTGAGGAAGAGAGAATTCATGAGATAGTTCATACCAGTGTTTCTTATGCAGTTACCTGCAGGAGTTCTAAGATGCCTATGACAGAAAGATGTAGCAATTCTTGGGCAAATTACCATTGTGATTTGCAATCTAAACTAATTCTCCTTAAAAAACTTGTGAAAATGACAAATAAATGAAATAAAATAAACTTAAAATGATGACCATAATTCATTTTATTTATGAATTTTATATATAGAAAAAAGTATAAGTGAATCCTTTCATTCCAAATGTTGATTTATTATGTGGTTACTTTAATGTTAATTTTGTAATGTTAACAATATATAAAATTGTTGACTAACCCACGGAATAAAGTTTCAAATAGCAGGTATCTTGGTTGAACCATAATGTCAAAATGATTATGTATGTGAAAGAAGCAAAGACAATATTGTTCGGAATATAATAAAATTTAAAATTATTTAATATTTATTTAGATTTTGCTAGATATGAATAACCTTATATAAATTAGTTCTCCTTAAAACCTTGTAAATATAAAAATAAAATAAAAAATAAAATTCATTTAAAATAATGACCACAATTCATTTATATATATATATGAATTTAAATACATAAAAATAGTATAAAATTAATTAATTTTTATTTTTAGTTTCTCTAAATATAGTAAATTTTAAAATAAATAATAACTTTTTTCAATTTTTAATTTTTTCTATATTCTAAATAATATCCCCACTGTGAGTGCATGGAATATAGAAAGGGAATACAGAAATGTGTATATCAATTAACCCAAAAACCCTAGCTTATATACAGGAGCGAGTGGTCCGGATTGAAACCAATCCGACGGCTACCAAAATCCACTACGCTAATATTAATATACGGCATCGTAGCCGTACACTTGGCCCTCACATCATCCCCTCCTCTCGGAATAATGAAAGGCCGTCAGGGTTCTCTTGTAGATGGGCCGGGATCTGGAGGAACATCAGGAGGAGGCATCGGTGGATCTGTAGACGGTATTAATTGCTCCTGATCCTTTTGTATGAAGCGTTTTAACCGCTGCACATGCACAATCTCCGGAGGATTGGCCTGCTGAACGTCATGCCGAACCTCATAAACTTGTGGTCCAACTTGCCGCAACACCCGATATGGTCCTTTCCACTGCGCAAGGAGCCCCTTAGATAAACCACGTACCGTAAGATGGGGAAAACGGACTAACACCAAATCATCCACTTTGTACTCCGCTGGTGGACGATGATGGGAATTGTAGCGCCGTTGTTGTCCCACTTGTATGCGGCCTAAGTGTTCAGCAGACTCTGCTCGGACAAGTGGAAGAATGCTTGTCAAATATTGATCCCATGACCTAGCATCAGGAGCTCGTGGCAATCGCGAAGGTAAACCCAGCTCTATTGGTAATATTGGATCATGACCATATAGAAGTTTATATGGTGAAGCACCAACAGAACTCTGCACCCCTGTGACATAAGCATACCGAAGAGACGGCAAATAACCATCCCAATCCGAATGTTGAAAGTTCACATACTTCGCAATCATCCCTTTGAATGTCCGAACGAGCCGTTCCACCAGACCGTCTGATTGTGGATGATAAGCACTCGTAAAAGTGTGGCGTATCCCCAACCAAGATGTCAAAACATGAAATACCTCAGCCATAAATGCAGGATCATTATCCGAAAGAATCTGTTCTGGACAAGAATGCTGGAACACCACTCGATTGAGGAGGAAGTATCCAACAGCAGTTGCAGAGGCACTAGCAAGAGCACCAACTTCCACCCAACGAGTTAAGTAGTCAGAAGCAATAATAACATACTCATTGCCAGCAGTCGATCGCGGAAAAGGTCCCATAAGATCAAATGCCACCAACTCAAACGGACGAGAAACTGCAATTGACTCCAACTGTCCTTCCGCAGCACAAGGGGGAGTATTACGAGCTTGGCACCAAACGCAGCTACGCACATACCGGATAATATCACATCGCATCTCTGGCCAATAGAAAGATCTGCGCAGCTTCTTGGTGACACGACGGTGTCCCATATGCCCACCTAGAATAGGAGAATCATGGTAGGTATGGAGAAACCGCGGAATAAACACCGAAGGCACCACCAGCCGTAAATGAGCATCAGGATCTGTCCCCACAAAATAAAGAAGGCCATCTTCAAGGCGATATTGAGAATGTAAATGCCGAAAAGGCAAGTCATCAGCAAGTGATGCAGGATTCTCAAACCCATCTCGAAGCCTTCGAATCCACGGCTCAATCTTTTGAGCCTCGCGAACCTCATCCAGAGAAGGTAGATCTTGCTCTACGCCCTGTGGACACTGAACGTCAAGGACAGCAACCGCCGACGGCACAGAATCCTCATCTAGAAAATCCACAGATGTTGGAACAACAGGTTCGTCAGAAACATGAGAAGTGAGTGGAGAAGGAAGAGGAGCTCGAGAAAGGGCATCAGCATCAGCCATAGAACTCCCTGGGCGATGAACAACATCGAAATCATATATCTGAAGCTTCAAAGCCCATCGAGCCGTACGACTAACCAGGTTCTTCCGCTTCAATAATGAAGTAATAGCAGCATGGTCACCTTCAAGTAACGTCCAAGAACCATGTAGATAGGCATGAAGTTTCTCGAAACCCCAGACTGCTGCTAAACACTCCTTCTCCGTCGTGGAGTAGTTCATCTCCGCTGGTTGTAATGTACGGCTTATGTATGCAATGGGATGGCGCTGACCAGGCACGCTGGAGCTCTCTTGCATCAACACACCTCCAAAACCAATGT